CTGTGAAAAACTCCTCTCTTTTTGAATGTAACGCAAACCCACAATTAGAAAGATCCAAAGCTCCCAAACCCTATAGTCGCTCCATTGTCATCAGCTCCTTGGGAGGCCTGCGATCTATGGTATCCTCGGTATGACGATTATTCGCTCTTACTTAGTTATTGCCATGTTTTTATTCTATGGCTCAAGTGGAAACCCCTTCTCTTTTTCGTTATGAGATTCCAGATGAAAGTAAAGTAGCATATCTCTTTCTGTAGCTAGACGCCGCAGCAGCAGTTGTTCCTCGATTTTGGTAGAAATGGAGTCTCCACTACCAAAGAGTCTTCTCTAATGTCCACCACATTTTCTCAAGCTGACTGACTTTGGAGCTCCCGATTGATTTTGACACTATTAGGCCCAAAAGACTAAAATAGCCATATGCCCTACTTTTTTTTTTGGGACGAAAATATGCGCAACTTTAATTCACAAATCTTTTTGTTTTCTGGTCGATCTTAAATTCATAAATCAATATTCACTATCGTGAATATATTTTATTTTTGGAAAGGATATATATTTTTAATTTGAAATGTAAAGTCTGTTTTTGGAAGGAATATAAAATATAAAAATAAGAAGTAAGGAATGAAAGTTTTATAAAATAAAAAAGTACCCACTACGATATATTTTAACTTTTTTGTTATTTAATTTCATATTATTCAAGTTATCTTGTTTTAGAAGTTTAATTAATAAAGGATATTTCTTGCTATTTTGAAAGTTTCCCTAAATTCTTTGGGAAAAAGGAAAAGGTTTCTCAAAATTATGCCTCTGCCTTTTTATAATAGTCTTGTCTTTTCTTTTTTTCGGTCTCCATCTCTCTCTCTTTGTTTTTGCACGTTTAGGGTTTAGAATTTGAAAGACTCCGTTATCTATGGGTGGATCAATGAAGGTTTCGCAATCCAAGAAGGTGGTCTGGCCCTCGAGTTGTGAGGCTTCGAAGCACATGGACGAGGTATTTGTCCACTTCTCATCTCTAACTGGGTTTATTTTCTGGTGTTTTGTGTTTGTGTGTTGGTGTTTTATTTAAATAATCAGGTTTTGTGAATATGGGGTCTTAGTATGAAATTGAGTTTTGGGGTTTATTATTATTGATAAGTACATGATAATAGTGGCAGTATGAATGTTGTTTTTAATGAGATTTAACTATTGACAGGCTCAGGTTGTGATGCCAAACTTAAATTGTTAGAGTGGGTGGTAGAAGTTCAATGGTATCATTTTGTTTGTTTGTTGACTAGGATCTGAGGACGATGAGTTGATGCAATCATTTTGTTTGTTTGACTAGGTATCTTTTGTTTGTTTAATACCTAGATACCCAGTGAATTTCAGATCAAAAAACAAAAGCCCATGAACTTTACCCCAACAATACAAACATAAAAAAAACAAAAACAAAAAACAAGATTCTCTTTTCTTCTCTCTCCAGCCAATCCAAAAACAAAAACAACAACACAAACAAAAAAAAAAGACTATCAGATATTAAAAGAAACCTTTATCAATTCGAACTACTATCCACTCAAAAAGTGATTTACTAAATCTGAGAGAATTTTAGATGGTGGTTTTCTTTATTGTACTGCAACTTGAGGTGTTTAGATGTCACATGTAATAGAACGCTTAACTTTGTTCTTCTCTTGGTCATATTTGTTGTTTGTGCTGTCTCTTGGCAGGATGGAAAGGTGGCTGATACATTAGAAGGTGCAGATCCATCTAGTTTGGCTAATAAAGTTGCAGTTGAGCCTGAAGAACCTGCTCCAGAGTTGACAAAAGAGAATGAATCTTCCCAAGAGCAAATTGAAGCGCAAGATGGCCTTGATGATGCCTTGAAAAGGCGGCTGCAACAGCTGATTGACTCCAATCGAGTCATGCTTTTCATGAAAGGAACCCCTGAGGATCCCAAATGTGAATTTAGCAAAATAGCTGTTAAAATGTTGAAGAGACATGAGGTCGAATTTGGAAGTTTTGATCTTCTCACGGACAATGAAGTTATGGAGGGGATACAAAAGTATTCTAACTGGCCACTATTACCACATATCTACTTTGAAGGGAGGGCTCGTGGTTTTCGTCACATAGGAACTCTAATGAAAGGTTGCCCATCTGATCCAAATGTGTTTGGATAGATTACACTATAGAAAAGTTGCACAAGAGAAAGCACTGAACATTTGCAAAATGTGATTTTTCATTGAAGAAAAGATATTGAGGCATTTGCAATGTAATGTTTTGATTCTTAAAGTGTTTATTTGCCTGGCTAATTTCTGTTTCTTTTGTGGGGTACTTTCTTTTTTGAATAGTACACTCTGTTAGTGGACAACAGGGCAAGTGGCTTTGAGATATTAACCAGTTGATCAATGGATAATGAATCTGTTTCAATAATATAATATTCCATCAAGAATTTTTAATGGGATTACTTTCTCGACGTGAAATGAATATATAATATACACTAAATTGTGAACCTGAACAATTATCTAATTGTCACTTCGATCTCTGAACTATTACCACAAGTTTTTAATGATGTTGAAAGTTGTACCAAACAAAAAACATTCCAATTCGCATGAACAAATTTCTGCGTATATACCAATGCATTTTGTATATGCATGAGCATATTTCTATGTAGATGATGGTGAAGAACCCGTCAAGAAAGAAGTTGTAGGTTTGCTGGTTTGTTTATGAATTCTACTGAGTATTTGACTTCCTCTGCTTTGGCTCTGCATTGCAATATGAGTGTCATAATGGACTTTAATTCACTTTCTATTTTACAGCAATATCAGAAAAACTGCATTACAGCTCTGTATTATTGTTTTGGCACCAAATGGTTGATTTTGTTTCATTTATGAAATGCGTAAATGAGCAGTTGAGGTGAAGGAGGGGAAGATTGTCTCCATTGTTAAAGAAGAAGAAAATCATGGAAAATCCAAGTTGGAGAGGCTATTGTCACGCCTGGCTTGATTGATGTGTAAAATTTTGGGGGCGGGGGAATAAAAAACCGAGTCTAGCCATTCAGCAACACTATTTCTTAAAAAAAATTGGAAAAACCGAGTCTGGCCGCGCGGCTTTACTATTTCTTTAAAAAATATTTAAAACCCAGTTTAGCCGTACGGTTATACTATTTCTTTAAAAAATTGGAAAAGATCGAGTATAGCCGCTCGGCGATACTATTTCTTTAAATCACAGTCTAGCCGGTCGGCTTTATGATTTCTTTAAAAATTTAAAAAAACCGAGTATAGCCGGCGGACTATACTATTTCTTTAATAAAGTTTGGAGAAAACCGAGCATAGCCGATCGGCTATAGTATTTTTGAAAAAAAAAATTGAAATAACCGAGTACAGCAGCGCGGCTGTACTATTTCTTTTAAAAAATTTGGACTATACCCACTTAATATAGAAATTCGACCCCTTGTACTAAAAATTATACAGTAGTGCCTACATCTGGCCAGCAGCTATAATGATTTTTGGGACCGCTGAATTATTAAATGTATTATGTTGATCTTTAGATTCCTCAGAAGAGTGTGCCATAGAGCCTTTCATCTCAGTTTTTTTGATGCAGAATTAGCTCAAATGGTTTGTGGTTCTTGCCGCCGCCTGCTTAAATCTCCACCAGGAGCCACAGGGATGTTCAATGCTCATGCTGTGAAACAGTCAACTTTGTGCTACAAGGTTCTTCTCTCTTCCTCTTTCACTTAGATACTTAGTGTACCTAGTAAGCAAAGTTCTCATTCTCATTCTCTCCTCTTTTTGCCTTTTCCAAAATTGTTGTAGGTTTTCTTACTTCATGTAATCTTGTGATGATACTGTACGCCTAGCTCAAGTATTGCCAAAATTTGATAACAATGATAAAGAAGAAAGAGAAACTGCTTTGCATAGTTTTGTAACTTTCCAGTTTACGTGTGAGGGTCTCTATCTACTAAGAATCATGCCATCAGGAAAGCTGATATGGGGAGGCTGGTTTTAGAAACCCTCTATCCAGTGGGCGATACTAATAAGAGTAATCAATTTTGGTCTTGGATCATGCTGAGTCTAGATTTGAGAAGTAATACAAGGTCTGAAGAATTTGATTTACAATCACTAATGTTTCCTTGGCGTCTGATAAAATCCATTGACGATAGTCTCTTCATTATATACCCAAGCCAAAACAAACCCTTCAAGTGCTATTGTTTCCTAACCAATAATCCGTGGTCACTTGTCTTTAAATTTTAAGTGGTATTCCATTTGAGTGAAATGTGTTTCACTTATTTTTTCATTCATCATCATGTTATTAGGAATGAACTTTTAGTGCTTATTAGAGATGGATTCTAAATTTGGCTTCAGGAGACATAAAAGAAGTAGTCAAAGGTTTGTTTGTTTTTAAAAAAAAAAACTTTTTTGACACTTTGTTATATTACATTTCATCGAGTCTAACATCAGAATTTAAAAAGTTTCCCGGAGATTTTGGAGGTCTGTGGACCGCAGATCATAGAAAAAGTAACCCTGTTAAAACATATGCCACATGATTGGTTGCAACAGCAGACGAATGCTGTCTGTTCACCAGAGAGGCTTCCATATGCTGGTCTATTATCTTCGCTGATCACCTTTGGAGAATCACGTAAAGCTTTGTGACATGGGTACCATTTTTACTGGATTATGTTTTTCTTCACTTCGAGTGACTTTGTTTTGTACTTCGTCTATAATACTCAATTACTCATTTCAATGCATGTAATTTGAAGTTGGATAGAGGATTTTGAAACTAAGTGAAGAATCTGGAGTATGTTCGACCTTCAAGATTTCAAATTTTGGCAACCTTGGGATACCTTATTGGGTTGGAGAAAGTTTATGTTGTGTATGTTTACAAAGACAACAACATGCTAACTAGTTTCTTTTAAACTTTCATTATGTGACAATGAATTGTGAATTGTTTTCTCACGAACTCCATGTTTTTCTTCATATTTTTGGCTGATTTAACAGTGCTGGTGGACATCAGGGAGAGATTGATCATTTTCAATGTTTTAGTTTTCTTACGCTTAAATATGCTTCTGCTATTCCTTGA